TGTCCCTCCTTCCTCCCGGGTTTCGGCACCAATGTAACACAGTTCGTAGATCGGGAAGAAGGAGTTCGTAGATCTGGTCCTCTCTTGTCCTTCACTGTCGTTACTCCTCCTTTTATCCTTCCGGAGCTCCTCCGTGGGACTCGAGACCGGTGAGTGGCGCAGGTGTCGCTCATTATCAATTACTCCACCTGCCTCGCTCCGTTCCCACGGCTCTCGGCCCGTCCCACTTGTCACACCTGCATAGGGTTGTCTTGAAGGGAGGAAGTTCAGTCAGAGCTCTTTCAATAGGATTCTGACTCGTTAGCAGTTACTTTAATCTTTTTTTCTGTAGCAAGGGAATTTGTATTCCCGGGCTCGGGATTCCCAGATCACCTGATTGGTCACAATACACCCCAGTATTAGCTCATGCATGAGCTTTGGGACTAGAAAGTCGCGAGTAATTTCTACTTTCTGGTACGGCTTCAGGGGTGCCGAGGTAATCTTCAGTAACATTCTATCTACTTCCTTCGTTTGCTTTGGTGTTGTTTGTCCCTTCCATGTAAAGTGGACTCCCAGGTACCTTTGTGTGTCTGAGACGCTCATCGTTGTGATGGCTCCGTCATTTGTTGAGTAGAGGTTAGGTGCCAGCACCAGATGTTTCCTTCGGCCATTCTTGAGGATAGTTAAAGTTCCTGATTTCTTGGTGTTGAGCGACATGCCCACCCGCTGTATTCCTCTGCAGAGGCCATCCAATTTCCTCTGGACCTGTTCGGGGGCATCGGCCTGCAGAATCAGATTGTCCGCATATGCTATGGCTCCAATCCATTCCTCCCTCCATGTAATCCCGATGTCGGGAAGTGGCTCTTCGATCACCTCTCCCATCGCCAGGATGAGGAGGATCAGAGATCCTAAAAGAGTCATAGTTACTCCCGCCGTTTACCTGCGCTTCATGGTAGGCTGTACAGCTGTGTGGTGTACTGTAAAACTCAGCACAGGTTGACTCTTACAACACTGCAGTGACACGGGAGTAAATAAACTGCTCAGAGTTCAAACTGAAGCAGCTCAAAATTTTAGAAAGGCCAAGCCGGAGTCCTGACCTCAATCTGGAGTCTGTTGTGTGATCTGAAGCGAGGAGAAGCGTGCAAATGCACCTCAGCTCCTCCAGAAGCATTTAGTGGAGGATGTTACCAATAAAATGCTTTTGATAGCAGTAGTGATTTTTTTATTTAGTATTTTGTGTGTTTGTTGATAAATAAAATATATATAGGGATTTGTGTTTGACATACAGATGCTTGTTTCGGCCACAGGATGAAAAACAAAAAAGGTAATTGCGACTTGTCATCTCACAATTCAGACTTTTTTCTCGTAATTCTGAGAAGTAAAGTCTGAATTGTGAAAGAAACTTGCAATTACATGAAATAAAGTCAGAATTGTGAGATAAAAAGTATTTTTTTATTCCATGGTGGAAACAAAAGTCAGAAGTGTCATATGTAAATTCAGAACTGCGAGAAGAACTTAATTATGAGATAAAATGTCGCAATTACCTTTTTTATTTTTTATTTTGTTTGCTTTATTATATATATATATATATATATATACATTTCTCCCCAATTCTTTTCCATCTGTTTCCGCTGAAGAATGACAGAAGTTTCGATTTTTGCTAATACCGTGTTGTGTTTGTGCAGTATCATGTAAATATCATAGTGCATGAATAAGGAAATCATTGATCATTGCATGTTCACTCCACAATATATCATTAAAGCTCGTACCGGTTCTTCCTCATTTACTTTCACTTCATCTGTTTTATTAATACTATACTCTTTCAATAATATTAATGGTGCAGTGATGGGTTCAGATAATTACCAAATGATTATCATATTCATATAACATTTATATGGTGATTCAATGCATTACCAAAAAACATGTGATGTCTAATGGTTTATTAGTTTAAGCAGTGTCAGACGGCTCCTCCAGTTAATGTCTTTCTCTCCTTAGAGATGAATTGGCACAGTTGTGTGACAAACACTCATCTCTGATTCATTTCAGAGTGGAAATGTTGCCGTTTCCAAAAAACCGATGGCAGCTAAATTTCCCTTGTGTCTTTGTGTTTTCCAGTCGTTTGAATTAGTGGCTTGTTAACTGTATAGTTCTGGTGCTGTTCTTTCGGTTAAACCTCATGACAAGCCATTATCTGACAATTGATTTCAAAATGTGAATGACAAACTCGTAATTAGATTTCATCTGAAAGTGGCAGCCAATACAGCTCCAGTGATGAAAACCCCTACGAGTCCTCCTTATGCGGCATAATATCGGCCTTACGGCAGAGGTGAGGTATTATCAGTCACATAATCTTTATTTAATAAAAAAAAGTAATTAGTTTTTGTCGTTGGCTTTCCACAGCATCGTGTCCTTGGAAGAGAGTCACTTCTGCCCTCTTCATCCTAAAACTTCAGCACTCAGAGGCAAAGTCGCGTTTTTACTGGAGCTGATCATCCATCTCGCTGGATTAGCGACGACCTCCTAAACAAACAAATCGCTGTTTTGTTCCCAGTACGGCAGTCGAGCCCTTTTTTGTGTGCGCCCTATAAAGCTGCAGGTGTGTTAGAGTTTAAGAGCGAGCTTTCGTGTCCTTAAATCATTTACCCTCTGCAAACTCATATAACTACAAAACAGTTTAATGTTTTAATCCCCCTTGAGTCGGCCCCAAACCCCAGATGAGGGGATGCATCCTCACAAAACCACAACCGGCTTCATTAATCACGCTAATGCTGGCTATATTTTTAACCCTTACCATTTATCAGCCTGAGAGAGCATGACAGTGAGGAACAAACCCCTGCGCCCGCGCGCTCATGGGACACAGCTGATGCATCGTCTATTCATCCTGTGACTTCCTGCTGTTTTATTCTCTGTGTCTTTTTTCCCGTTCAATTAGGACTTTGGCGATGACGGCTCGCTCTACATTACTAAGGTGACTACGATTCACATGGGGAACTACAGCTGTCACGCATACGGCTATGAGGAGCTGTCCCAGACCCACGTGCTCCAGGTGAATGGTTAGTAGTAGAATCTTTCATATATGTTTGCTTTCATGAGCTATTTTTGTAATGTCTCTTAAAGCTGTCAAATGGATAAATGAAGAAATGAAGCAGTGTACCTTCATTTTTAATACAACGTCCATGTTACACAATTTAACTATAGTAATAATTAGTGTTGGTGGTAATGCATTACAAGTTGAATAATCAGATTACTTTTTCAAAGTAACTAGTAAAGTAACACATTACTTTTCAATTTGCAAGAAAACATCAGAGTTACTTTTTCAAATACGTAAGGACAGTTACTTTGTTTTCCCATTGACTGACAGCTCTCCTGTCCACATGTTGAGAGAAATTGGGAGTAAGTGCATTAACATGCGTTTATGCCGAGTTCACACGGCACAATTTTCAAAGTCGTCGGATCATCGTTGTTTTCACACTGCACGACTATCTGGAGCAAAATTCAGTTGCTGCTGTATTCACATTGCATGATGGATCGGCGACAGGAGGTTACACACTGCATGACTTTACAATCGCCGACAACTCTGTCTGGTCTGCAAACTACGTTTCACAACCAAACACACGTGAGTAGAGATAAGGAAATAACGCAAGCGATCAGAGTTCTCGCACGAGACTGGAAACGTTATTAAATTGGTAGCCTGCAAGAAGTTCGCGATATAAATGGTCTGTGTGCTGATTTGCAGCGAAAGGGTGAAAAAAAAAAAAAAGATTATGGAGGAGGAAATGTTTACTGTGATATAGAGAATGTGCACTGCATTCTGGGTAGTCGCCACCATGTTTTAGGACACGCTAAGTAGCGTACAATGACAACAAATACAAATCACCAGAGGAAAAAACGGTTGTATTTGCGTTAATATTTTTAAGAGCTGCTTGAATTTGCTTAGAATAATTAGACTATTCATATTTAATAATGATCATTCGAGCGCTCAGTCACATACACACTCATTGAAATCATACAGCCGCCTTCTATCGTATCACACACAGGACCAAACTGATTTCTCTTTTGCAGTTTTCAATAACTAGATGGCACTGATATATCTGCCAGATAAAACAATAAACACAATATAGCTTGATCTCAGCCAGATGATCATGTATTTCAGTGGTTCTCAATTACAGCATATTTCGTACGTTTCTCTTATCACTTCAGACGTTTGTTCTATTCGACAGTAAGTGCCCTGCAAAGTGGACATCACAGTATATTCCGCCATGATTCCAGTTCGAAGCAAGCGTATATGTTCCATTCAAAGAGTATTAAAGTGTGCGAGACATGAATTTAAAGGTGGGGTAAGCGATTTCTCGT